AATGGGTCGCATCGAGTCTAAATCCAACAAAATCCGGATTTGCATCTCAAAAGCATACATGGGATCTTGATCCGGATTCAGTTATATGGGATTCGGATCAGGATCTCGAACCGATGGGATCCAAAAAATTATTTCATATTTATAAAATAGTATACAATCTTATGATAATTGGGTCAGATTCGGATCGGATCCATGTACACCTTGATCCTATTGAATTATTATTAGAATTCAAATTTTGGATCCAGATCCAAGCTGTCAGATCCAAATCTTGGATCCATACTCGGATCCAAATAGGATCCAAAATTCGGGTTTCGGATCCAAATTGGGTTTGTGGTAGATGCTACTTCCATGCTGTAAAATGAAAGCCGCACTGGCCATAACCCTTCCCATGTTTTTCTAACATGGCCTTAAAGTTCAGCTCTAATTTAAATACATGATTTTTTCTAATTAAACCCTCAGAAATCCTATAATTTACATTTAGAATAGGATGTGAACTATTAAATTACTTTAGTTGCCACTTATTTTATTTCATTCCAATAAAAAAAGTAAGGCGTTTTTTTTTTGTCATTTAAAAAAGGTATATATGACATTTTCATTAAAAGAGACGAGTGGTTCGGCATTTGAAATCTAGATGCTTTATTAATATTAATGTCATTATCAGGGAAAGGGGCTGGGGACGTGGAGGTAGTACCGTACACCCTAGTCACCACGTCATGGTTTTCATTCCCATCACTAACACCACCTACCTTCAAAAAGCTACCTTCTAATCTACTTGAAAAAATCGGCAGGGCTTGGCTTCCCTCAAATTACTAAAAGAAAAGAAAAGAAAAGAAAAAAAGCCAATATCTCCTATTGAAAATTTAAAAAACGAATCGAAAAGACAGCATCGACTGTCATTTTCTACAAGCATCAATTACGCTCTATTAATGATAAAAATGATATTAATTATTTCACAGGCATGGAATGAAATAAGGGGCAGATAAAGTAATTCAACGGTTTACCCCCATTCAAAATGTAATGTGTTGGATTTTGAGTGGTGTTAAGCAATGATTTAAAAATCGATGAGTCGAACTGTCCGGTTCGACTCGAGAATCCATACAGCCCGTGCTAGTTCCAGCACAAAATCGAGAACCGCTTGGTTATAGAGCAGAACCGCCGGTTCCCACTTGGTTCCGTCCGATTCCCTCCCAGTTCTAGCGGTTCTCACTCGGTTCTGTCCAGCTCCCTCCCGGTTCTAGCGGTTTCCTCCCGGTTCTAGCCGGTTCCCTCCGGTTCTAGTTGGTTCCCTCCCAGTACTAGCCGGTTCCCTCCCGGTTCTAGCCTCAAAAGCACCTTCACACGTGTGTATGCGTCACGCGTGCGACACGCACCACTCCCACATATGTGACACGAGCGGTACACACTCCCACACATGTCATACGTACCTGTACGCGTGCATGTGTGTACACGTGCCACACACACTCCCACAAGCACATGCACGCGTGCACCGGTTCTAGCAGGTTTAGGCCTCAAAAACACTTTCACAATTGCCACACGCACATGCACGCATGCACGTGTGCACGCTCCCACACGTGCCACACACACTCCCACATGTACATGCACGCGTGCATCGGTTCTAGCTGGTTCAGACCTCAAAAACACTTTCACACGTGTGTACGCATCACACGTGCGACACACACTGCGTCACACGTGCGACACACACCACTCCCACATGCGCCACACGTGCGACACGCACATGCACGCGTACGCAAATGCCCTAGTGTTTTCACACTTATGTTTATCTTCCAATTACATTGTAATTTATATAGCATATTTGAATACTTATCCTTCGATGTGGGATAATTTTCAAACATCATTAAATGAAAACAGAATGTAAATATATGCTATTAATAGGTAATTTTAAATACATATGCTAAAGAGGCACGATAGTTATCACTAATGTTATTTGCTTTGACTTTTCAAGTTCGAATCTCCCCTTGGGCCATAAAATAGTTTATCCCTTCTTGAGTTAATTTTTGTTCCCCCTTGGGCATATAATAAATTAAAGTGTTATTTTCAAAATTTGTACATATTTTATTAATTTTTACATTGATAACCAAATCTTTTATTTTATTTATTAATTTTTACATTATAAATCATGTAATGTACTATTTTTCTTACAGTTGTCAATAATACATTTTAAATTAGATAATATTATAAAATATTTTTAATTTGTTATTATTTATCTAATAAAATAACTATAAAATATAAACTAATAATTATAATTTCAGTATATAATATTATAATTAGTTAGGTTGTAATAATTTTGTATTATAGTTAGTTAGTTTGTAACAATTTTGATTTTTTTAGCGGATTAGGGTTTTTTGCCAAAACGAGATTTTAATGGCCATTCTTTCATTGATTTAGTCTACTCTTTATTATAGTCTATGTATAATTATATATTTTATCCGTGATAATTCTAGGATTTTTCTTTTATGTGATGTAAATTTAATACTTAAGTTTATACAGGGAAAGAGCATCTCAATATTCACAAATTGATGAAAAAAATGAAAGTTAATAATGTAGTACCTTTATTTCTTATTGGATTCCTAAAAAACAACATTTATAATGAATTTTAATAATTTTTTTGGACTTTTTTGAAGCTTTAATCCAACGGATTCAGCTAATTCCCGATCCGGATCGCCGATCTAGATCGGTTGTTGAGGTGCTTGATCCGGGTCACCGATCCGCTTTTTAAACCATTGGTGTTAACTATATCAAGACTAAATAATAACTGTTCTTGTTTATGGGGATTCTTAACTTTATTTTCAAGAACTCATAAGTTTATGAATTCTTGAGGTAGAATCCTATCTTATCGGAGGTATTCATTTCTGTATTTGTGATCTTCATTGAGGCTTGTTGTTTTCTAGAGATCAAAGAAGTATTTTTCCTATTTACAGTAACCATGGGATCAAAATATAGTTTCATAGAACTGGGAGAAAAATACCGAAAGAGAAGATTTAAGAGTGATTGTACTCAGACAAGTAGCAGAAAATTAGAAGCGCAACGAATACTAATCTAAAATTGGAAATGAACAGAGAAAACCACTCATGCACCATTGTATTCCAAAAGAGTGATTTACATACGGAGTTTAAAATTTTATTTTAAGTAAAATACGAAATACTCCACCTATATGCGAAAATTACAAAGAATGTTGGTCAACCCTCTTTTTAGTTTTTCTAAGATTGCCCTTTGAGCAACTTGATTTTTTATTTATTTTTGTTTAGTTTTTTTGTTTGTAAAGAAGTGCCTTAAAGTTTGGGACACTACCTTACTAATGGAAAAACTAAAAAAATAAAACAAAATTTGGGTTGACCAAAGGACAATTTTGAAAAAAATGGTAGACGACATTGTTTGCAATTTTTGCATCTAAATGAACATTTCGTATTTTACTTAAAATTTTAAGATCTATACATAAATCACATGTACCAAAATTTACAGAGAAAAAACTCTTTTTTAAACTAATAAAATAAAAAAAAATTGTTTCATGTGGGTTGGACCGCATTTCTACAACATGCAGTCCACCAGTATAAAGCATCCATCTTAAAGAGGATGCAATTAGGTGGTCCATTTGAAAACAAGTGTAACTAATGGCTCACATATTTTTTTTAATATAACTATTATTATTAGTTTTCAATTTTTATTTTATATTCATGATCTCCATGTTAAAGATTAGAGTAATGATCCTATGAGACTCTCCCACACCTATATGTGTAGGACTCAAAGGATCACCATTAAATTTAGTACAGGTCTTTAAATGAATCAAGTCCAACGTCCATGTGATTATTTTTTTAGATATCTATACCAAATTTAATGATGATCCTTTAAAGTTTTAAGCATATGAGTGTTGGAGGGTCTCATAGGATCATTACTCTAAAGATTATATATTATTTAAATATTAAAATCAAATTATATTTTAAAAATATATTTATTATGAAGCCCCATTTCTACGGGCTGGCCGCATAAAAACCGTGTGCATAAACTTATTTTTTTTCTTTTTTTTTTTAAATCAGTGTCCATAAAGTAATAATGAGCATGAAAGATGACCGACCACCTATCTTCTGTCGTACATAACACGCTTCTCTCTACATACTTTTCTTTACTTTGGACGTGATTCTTTCTCTTTCCCACACTTGTTCTGACTTATTTTTATGATTTTATGCTAAACTAATTCAACACAATCCTCTATATATATTAAAGTAATACTGAGTATGAAAGATGACAGACCGCCTCTCTTTTGTCGCACTTAACACCCTCTCTCTATATATAACATTTCTTTCCCACACTTGTTCTAACTTATTTTTATGGTTTTATGCTAAACTAATTCATCACTATCCTTTATATATATATATATATATATGGATGGAAAATGATCTTGTGAGTTAGTGGGCCTTCAGATTGAATCTGGACGGATCTGACGATCACAGATGTCCAGTAGGGTTTGAATTTTAATTTTAATTTTTTTTTTACAAATCTGAAGCACTTGAAATTTTAAGGGTGTGTTCTTCTCTTCAAGTCGTACCTAATAATACTAAAAAAAGTAATACATAAAAACAAATTAATCAAAATACCCCCTTTAAAGGGGTTTTTTGGTCAATATTTTTCATGTAAAATATTTTTTTGATATTTTTGAAAGATTTACCTATTGTTTATGAACACACGCCTAAAATTTCAAATGATTTGGATTTGTAGATAAAAAATTAAAATGCAAACACTCTCAATGGGCTCTGCTTGTACTAGCTGGGTGCTGAAAACATAATTTAAAGCAAAGTTAGCAACAGTAGGATCGTCGATGGCAACAATGCTATTACTAAGTTAAGTGTGGATGAAGGCACCCCTCCACTTGTTGCGGCACTTCTGGCAATGGCGGATCAGCCTAGTTCGGACTCCGATCAAGCGTTCACTCTCAAGAATGGCCATTCCCTTGGAAGATCTCAGCGACCTCCCCCACACTTTCTAACCTATTCTCTATCATTCCTGAAGATACAAGCGGCAAAGGATTCCTTGGCTGGGTCTATCAAGTCCTCCAAATTCACATATTCTGTGTCTATCAAGTCCTCCAAATTCACATACGCCATGATGTGACTCTCCGATCCGAACTTACATTGCTCGAACATCATCATATTGAGGAGGTCGTATTCCTGCCCCATGTACAATTATAAACTTAAAACAGAAATGGATCAACATAAGTTTTGACCACCTCTTGAGTGTGGCAGTGGTTTTTATGAATGAAGTAAAGGTGTGGCGTGCTCGCCCCTTAGTTTTTGTAACGTCTTACATTTTATTTGATGATGCTAGTGTCCTCTTGTCAAGGGATTGTATACAATGAGACCACTTACCTTTGATATAAGGTGGTCACAATTACTTACAACCATCCGATGTGAAGTTTGATAGCTTAGTTGTATCAAAAAGTTTGAGAAAATTTCTTTTGAAGTTTGAACTTGGTCAATGGAATAATTGCGGCCACCCAATTTCACATCTAATGGTCAAGATTAATGTCTCACCTTGTAAATGGTTTCATTCTATACTTTCCTAAAGATTATTCATGTAACATATGCTTTCTTTTTTAAATAAAATGGGTAGGAACGCAATATCCCCACTCATTCGCCCACATAGAATAGTGAGGACGACATGGACTGTAACAATCCTAAACTTTTGGAAAAAAAAAAAAAGAAGAAGAAAATAAACTTTTAATACATGATGATTCGTTTGAACATGATGGTCCTTAGGGACCATCTCTACTTTTCAAAGCTTTTCGTTTAAAAGCTTTGTTGCTTCTTTGCTCTTGACACGTCTACTAAAGGATGTGGGCTGTAGTCGTTTAAAGCGTAAGCTAACGTTCACACCTGTAACGTAATAAAAGAATAAAATAATATATTAGTAGAATTTAAATTCAGAGAGATGAGGACACTGACCTTAGAAAACTTATGAGATTTTTCCCTCTGGTCGAAACACAGTGAACTCCACTCTCTAGCCGAATTTTTATCGGAAGCTCCTTCTCAAGTATTTGTGGGTAAGTGACATCGTCTTCCTGAAAAATAGTCTGTTTTTAATAAATAGTGATATTTCCGTCCAGGATCTTTATTTTATAAGTTTTGTGTGTAAGTGACATCGTCTTCCTGAAAAATAGTATGTTTTTAATTAAATAGTGATATTTCCGTCCAGGATCTTTATTTTATAAGTTTTGTGTGTAAGTGACATCGTCTTCCTGAAAAATA